GTCGGGCGACCTCCGGGCAGCTGGTCACGGCCGGGCCTGCTCACCAGGGTCCACCAGCCCCAGCTGGGCTGCGATCGCGGCGTTGGCCTCCGCCTTCTCCACGTCGCGCGCGCCGGCGCGCACCTGCGGGCGCCCCGCCACACACACGGGCGTAGGCGGGCGGTTGAGCCGCGCTTCGCCACACGCCGGGGGCAGCGCATGAGTGCAGCCTTCGCGCTGCTCCTGGGCTCATCCAGCCCTGCGGGGCCCCCGAACCCGGCCGCCTCTCAAGACATGCGGCGGCCCCCTGATTCGCAAGCGGTCCGACCATCGCCCAGCCGCTGCCGCTGAGCCCAAAAGCGGCCCGCCCTCCGCCTCCCAAATCGACTCCGGCGGGCTCCGCCGCCCCTAACCCCTCCCCGACGCCGTCCCACCTTGAAGCCAGCATCCAGTAGCTCCCTGACAATCCTGATGCCCAGCTTCCCGGTGGCTCCCGCAACGAACACAGTGCCCGGGTCCCTAGCGCCGCCGCCAGAGACCGGGGACTTGGCGCCGCGGCTGAGGCTGCGGGTCAGAGTCCCAAACAGGTCGAGGGCAGGGGCCGCGGCCTGCTGCGCGGAGGCGCCGCCCTTCGTAAGCTTGAAGGTGCCTGCAGGTTGTGGGACGTCGTCGGTTGCCGCGTCGGGGGACGGGGGTGAACGAGGGAGGCACGGTTTGTGCGGCCCTCGCGGGGGCGCCGCATGCAGCTCGCGTCGCGCCGCAGCTGCTATGTGAGGGTCTGGGCGGCCACAATGGGCGTCGCGCGATTGTCGAGGCAGCTGCCCGCGTGCATCTGCGGGCCCCAATGGGCCTGCCGAGCGAGTGTCACCGCCGGCAGCTGCGCCTGCGGCGCGCGCACAGCTTGGGTTCGCGGCCATGGTGCGCCCGCGGCGGCCCTGCGTACCTCGCGGCCCGGTCTTCTGTGCCCGAACGACCGTCCTCACGCGCGCATGGCACAGCCTGCGCAATGGGTCACGTTTGCTGGGCGTCTGTGACGCAAGCAGATCTAGAGCTTCTAAACACCCGGGGCTGGCGTCAGGGCCCACCTGGCTGAGCCACGCGCTGTTTTGAGGCTCATTCCACGCCTCTGCAGCGCGGTCTCCATCTAGCCGTCGCTCTGCCGGGGAGCCGGCCTAGTAGCGCAATGCACAAGTCCGCCAAGGAGCCTGCTCAGCAGATCCCGTGGTTGAAATGGATATTGAGGCGATTCTTTCCAATGACGCAATGTTTCCGGTGCTTGGTGGTGCTTGTGCGTCGCAGTGCCTGCGGGTGAGCTGTTGCGGAGAGCTGATGCTGGTTTCTTGAAGCCAAATCTCCTGCAGCCAAGCAACTATTATTTTAGCAAACCAACCTTTACACTACATCAAATCATTGAAGATCTAGTATTGGCCCCCAAGCCTGGGCGATGTCAACTCCGACAAGCCAAATCGCGCACGGCAGAGGGCTATCGACGGCGACGACGGTTTCGAGGATCACTTTTCTTGCCTATTGCCTCAAGAACGCGACGGTGGCCCCAGCAAGACACCCGGGCTATGAGCATGTTGGCGATGGACAAGCCATGGTCAACCACGCACTGGGCACGTCGGACTGTTCATGGCCTGGAACACAGATCACTGTGCACTTGCAGTAGTGGATTTCAGAGGACCCCCTATATGCTTGGCACACTCAATTGTGTCACTTGATGCTCCAACCTTGGAGACCCGCTGTGGTTGCATCCGCAACATGGCGGACGTTGGCACGTTGCTTTCAATGGCGTACGGTATATTTTAATACCGGGGGCCTTCTGTTCACATGCATCCACCACATTGCGTGCGGCTTGAGGGGGGCACATCTTTGACTCCTCCGCGTGCACTCGCGGTTGCAGAACAGTCAACCAAGAGCGGAGGCGTGCTGCTTGCTGTTGATACGATAGCGCGTGCGCGGGCACAGGGAGCTGCAATTATGGCAGACACTTCGACCCTGGTTGACGTCCAATGTCTGCCTGCTCCGGACATGCATTGCACTTTGCCCAAAGTTGTTTGGTTGCACCCCACACAGCGGCTCTCTAGATAAATGGCACGTTTGGTATGCTCAGAAAGGCTTATGCTTGTGTCAAACTATCCAGGACCAAACCAAACTATCCAGGACCTAAACAAAATATCTAATGTCGTGACGTGCAAGGCCGCGAACGGCTAGCTGTCGCTACACTGTACAGTAGTGTCTCGTGTGAAGCTGGCAGCTGTCACATCCATGCAATGGACTACCCCC